GTCATGATGCCAGACATTGATCAAAGCCTCGATCAGTTCCATTTTGTTTTTTGGTTTCATCCTTCTTACTCTTCTTTTGACAATCTCCCACAGGTTCTCAATAGGGTTTATATCAGGTGAATTACCTGGCCACTGCAGAAGCTTAATGTGGTTGTCAGCTAAGTATTTCTTGACTGTCTTTGCAGTGTGACAAGGTGCTTCATCTTGCATAAAAGTGAACCATCTCTGTTTACACCATTCGCTAAGTTGAGGCAGCAGTCGTGTCTCAAGTACCTTCTTGTATTGAACTTGATTCATAGTGCCTTCAACAATATACAGTCGTCCAGACCCATGAATAGAGGTAACTGACCAGACCATGACATACATTGGGTGCTTTACTGTCTCTGCAACACAGTCAGGATGAAATTCTTCACCGGGTCTCCTACATACATAGGCATTTATCATCCATGATGTAAAAGGATGATTCATCACTGAAACTCACCTAACTCCAATCATTTTCAGTGAAATTCTTGTGTTGCTTTCTCCATGCCAAACATTTCTTGATCATTGCCGGAGTCAGCTTTATTTTTCTGAGTGGCCGTCGAGCTTGAAAACTATTCATAACTAATTGTCTTCTGACTGTTCTGGTATTCACATGTACATTACTTTTTTGTAATTCTTTCTGCAACATCTTGCTTGTTGCTTTATGGTTTCTTATACAGCATTTCATGAGGTACCTGTTGTCTCGCACAGACATTAATTTTTTTCTGCCACAATTGCCAACACAGTTGCCTCATAGTTTTTATTTAACTAGGGCGGATCTTCTAATGATGCCCTTTTTCTTTTAGACAAGGTGGAAAAACGCATTTACGTAAAAGAGGTTGAAGGTTGGCTGCAAGAGCAGGTCCAACGTAAACATAGTTGGACCTGCTCTTGCAGCCAACCTTCAACCTCTGTCACATCGTCGTAATGTTGCTTCTCTTTCCCTTTTCTACAAATACTATAATGGTCTAAAGAGCTAGCGTCTCTTGTGCCATCTACTAAAATTCATTCTTGTGTTACTCATCATTCAATTAAGTTCTATACTTTTTCTGTTACTGTTCCTAAGTGCTCCAAAAACTCCTATTCGTCTAGTTTTTTCCTCGAACATCAGTTCTTTGGAATTCGCTTCCTTCATTTTGCTTTCCTGATTCATATAATTTACAACCTTTCAAGTCGTCTGTCAACCGTTATCTTGCTCTACAATCTTCATCTTTTCTCTTCCAGTAACTTCTAACACTAATTAGTGGTTGCTTGCAGCCTTGTTGGAAGCGAAGATGTTAAAATATATATATATATATATATATATATATATATATATATATATATATATATATACACACACACACACACACACACACATATATATATATATATATATATATATATATATATATATATATATATATATATATATATATATATTTATATATATATATATATATATATATATATATATATATATATATATATATATATATATATATATATATAAATATATATATATATATATATATATATATATATATATATATATATATATATATATATATATATATATTATGTCTATATTATATATTATCCAGACCATGACTGACCCTTCACCATGCTTGACTTTTGGGATCACACATTGTTTTTTACACGTTTACCAAATAAATGACAAACAATGATTTCTTCAAAAAATTTTGAACTTTGATTCATCAGTGAACAAGACTTGCGACCATTGTTATATTTCCCAATCTTTATGTTTTTTTTTGCCCATCTCCATCATTTAACTTTATTTAGCTTACTAGTAACGTTTTTTGGTAGCAACACGTCCTTTCAAACCATTAATTGCTAAGACACTGTTTTACAGTTAAAACGGATACTGGTGTTTCTTGCATGGAATTAAGTTCTTGGCAAATTTCGGTAGCAGTTCAAGTACAATTTCTTTTACTTTGAACATGGTTGAA